CCATCAGGCTGATGTCATTTGTTCGCGCTCCATTTGCTCACTCCGTGGGGAATTCGCGGTCGTTCCGAGCGAATAAAGTGGCATTTGTATCATAGAATATATTTTATAAATATTTCAGAAAACTGTTTTAAATTTATTTGTTCTATCATCTTTGGAATTGTTTATATAAAGGTTATGCACCTGTCTTTCAGTGTTTATGGCACAGCTAGGCTAAAGTTGCATACCGTATCTTAATTCAGTCGATTCGTGCGTTGAGCATATTTTTCGTGAGCAGAACGACGATTGAATTTTGGTCACAATTATGAAAACTATAGCACTCTATTATACTTTTCCAGATGTTTAAACAAATACGTAGGATAATTATATTGAATAATCATATATAATAATACATCAAACTTTTGTTCCTACGTATTAGTATTATAGTTTACGTATTTAATATGTCATAAATATCATAATTAAATACTTTGAACAACATTATTACAATTTCAATAAATAAAATTAGAAGAACATAACGGAGGAATAAATGTCGTATTAATGGCGTAAAGAAGGACAATAATAATGGCTAAATCACTATTACTCCTATCGATTATTGAATTGACAAATCAAATAAATAAAACATATGGACTACTTTACTTTTACTACTTAACATATGCAGGTGACAGTACCGCCATCACACTGTCATATACATATATTCAGAAACAAATTGAAAATTTATATTTTCAACATAAACTTCTAGCGAACAATAAGCAATAAGCAGGACAGTTTGATGTTGAAATGTATAGGTTAATATTTTACTGAAACGAATAAATTATTATTGGAAGCAATATAAGAAAATGCATTACATTAAAATGCAGAATGAATTTTCAGCGCTTTTCCAGTTGAAATGTGTAAAACTGGGAGCGCCTTGATGCACCGATTGCATTCATCACGTTGATACCGCGTTTTGTGTAGGGTGACAAAATTGCAATTTTTGCAACAACCAAAAACCTACTTTACATTATGATACAATATTATTGTTAGATCTCAAATTAAGAGTTCACCTACTTTTTCTACTAATTTCCATAACATCATAAAGAAATAAAACATGTTATATCTTCTAGTTTGTCATTCAATCTGTTGGTGCCATGCTGCACTTGAAATTTGAAAAAAAAAATGAATATTAATTATAAAGATAGGCATAGATCTTTATAAGGCTCGCTTTTTTTTATTTATCCTAGCTTTTAATTCATCATGGTGCTATAACAAGATGACGAACAGCGGATGTGGTATAACTGATGCCCTGTTTATTATAACAAGCGACGTTGCATACACTAGGGGAATTTAAGCGATTTGTATGGTTTAGGTGTGGCGGCGCACCTTGCATTAATGTGTAATGCAGTTTATGGTACGGCGGAATCGTTTGGATGTGGTTTTAGTGGTATAAGGATTATTAATATTGTGTATACTAATACCATAAAGTGAAAACATTCATAACGAATTCACTCAGAAACTGCTGGTACCACTTTAGAAGTTCTATCAGCATTAGAATGCTAAGAGTAACATAGGCTTTGTATAATGTATATGTACTATATATATAAGAAATCCAGCCAAGTAGTCACTAGTGTACATATATTTGAACTAGTCTTTGGTCTAATGTCTGGGTCTAGTCAAATGAAATATCTACTTCTATAAAATAATTTATACTAAATTAAATGTATCGGAGTTACTAACGAAGTCAAGATAAGTTTTGTTAGTGTTGCGCAAATTAAGTATGAAACTTATGAATACAGTTCTGTGGCTCAGTACTGTATTCGAGCGTGCGATCCTGAGACTGAGCGTTTTTGCGATGTGCCCAATTTAAAGGTGGTACGTTGCAGAAAAACATCGTGCGGGAACCGGCATGTCTTCGAACCAAAAATCTCCATGTATGTCAGACACAAGCGGCTGATCATCTAAATCGTGTCTTAAAATATTTACTTTTAAAGGTGTGTGTAATGTATTAGAACGGCTCATATTTGGACAATAGCCAATGAGCTACAGTGCGAATTATGTAAAAAAGGCAGAATAATAATATGATATATGTGGCGTAAACATATGACAACCGACGCACATTCTAAGTTCGGAAATGTCAATGGTGTGTATTACAATCATAATAGTGTCTATCCCAAAAATAATATAAAGACGTAATATAGTAGTAACGCGTCTGTCTGTCACATTTAACAGCGATGTGCAGATACTTGAAGCAATCACGGATCGGAGGACGTTTATTGAAATCTCAGCTAGGAGCGCATAGTTCATTTCGTTACAGAGGTGTCACGATCTTGGGAAGACAAAAACCAATTAACTATAGACAGAGTTAACATAGTGATATGTTCGACCCTGACGAAGTGATTTCGAAACTGTGACCAATCCTTTTGTATGAGCAATATTACTACGGTGAAAGAAAACATCGCAAGGAAATCTACTTGTTTCTGAAGCGCTGATTTAAAAACAAAATATCTTTGATATTTATTTTGGATGTTGTTTCGCTTGAATAAATGAATTAGAAATTCATAAGCAGATAAGACAAAAGTCAATATCAAGAACACTCTATACGCAAACTAGTCTTCATATTATCAAGATGATTGTCGCAGATAGGTTGAGAGGGCGCAAGTTCGTAAAGTTTTACGATCGGTATCCGATAGCACTCCGTAACATACCGTAATATTAGAGGGACCCTTACATGCCTAGTCTTGATTGAATTATACTGATTATCACATAAATGCAATTTTGCGTTTATTTTGATTTAGGCTTTCTATATAAAACATATCGCACAACAGTAAAGATAAACTGTAAAATATAATAACAAAAAAATAGCTATAATTATAAATGTCGTCAAAAAATTGTAAATCTTGAAACCATGATTTTTAGTTCCTAAAATATTTTAATGGTGAAGATGTTCTGACCTTTTAACCACAAAAGAAGAAACAGTTTTATTTAAAGTGAGCATGGGCAAATAAATGTCTGTCAACGAGAAAGTAAACTGTAGACTCATGTACGCTGGATAGAGTGAAAACAAACAACGGTGGTGATAGTGAACTTAAATAGATTTTTATATCGAACTTGCTAATTAAATACTCTTCGTAATATTGGTATTCATGTATAGTAGCGATTTTACCGTGATATATTATAAACGCAAGACTTAATTCAATTATTTTGTATTTAGGACTAAATCGACTTTTAAATACTCCTTTTTAAAAATAAGTATAATTTATGAATAGTACTGGATAAAAATAGAGGGAAAATGACATTATGAAAAGGGTTGAATCCCAGTTAATGAGGCCGAAACTCAACGACGAAGGATATTTAAAATAACGCTAACAAGTCGTGAAAGGTTATGATTAATTACTAGATATTAAAACATAATGCACTGTGAAATGCTAATTAATTGTCGATTTAAATAATAATGTTTACTTTTGAGTTGATTGAGTCTTAAGATAGACCTTATTAGCTTAGCTTATCTTAAACCTAGTGGTTAGTATAATCTAACATTTTCTATAGGTATAAAAACCTATACTAATCACTTTCTGTTAAAGCAACAAAAGCGTTATTCAATGCCTTTAAGTAAAGCGTGAGAAAAGCTAGTAAACTATAAAATTGTACGTAAACACATTACTTCTTAAAAGATGAAATAAATTTCACCTATATCTTACCAAATTTCTGAAATAAAGAACGCACTTTGATAATTTATTACAATTTCATTCAACGCTAATAAACTTACGATCCGGATTTAATATTAAAATTCAAAGGGAGATTTCTGAATGAAGATTTTCATAGGAAACATTAAAATCTGTTTTCTACAGCATCACTGGGGAACTGGCGTAGATCTTAAGATATTTATAAAAAGTAATTTTGGCTCATTTATCGTATTGTTATTAGATGCAAGTACTTACAATTCTATGAGAATGCAAATATGTGATATAAAGTAACATGATCAAAACAAATATTTATGGCACATAATAGTGTAAGAATACGTTGTAACTTTGGTATTAGTGTTGTCAGTACAGACACATAGAAAAAAAACCAGTGTCACAACAACCTCTGAGTTTTAGCCACAAAATTCTGCATTTGCTTATTACTTCTAAATACAACGTTGTTAGGTGTACAACTTTATCATTTAATTACTCGTTTTATTTATACTATATATTATACTAAAGGTAATTAATCAAATTTTATGAGTTTGTATTAATGACTGCAATTAAATTTAACAATTTTTAACCAGCCTCTGATAATAATCGCAAATGTCTCATGCTTTATACCACCCAACCTGTCCGCTGGGATGGCAATAACAAGTCCATAAACCGTTTTTACTGCCTTTGTTCAAGTAAATGTATGTAGGTTTCTTTTTAAACAATGACCGTATTTTCGTAAAACGAATATATCACAAGACAGACCCGAAGAATAGATATTTTAAGAGACGTTTTGATGTCCCCTGAGTGCGCGATAATGGACTCGTGCTTGTTAAAAATGTATTTTTAAAGTTGTGATGAACAAAATTGGATTCGTTTGTGATGTGAATTTCCATATATATACTTAAAAATTACCTATATTTAACTTTAAGACTTCCATACATAAAAACAACAAGGACTTAGTATAATTATTGAAAAATATATATACAGGGATAAAACTCTTATAAAGCCAATAAGTAATAGGTTTGTTTAGGTATTGAGCTTTCTACACGCCCGTTAACACATACGAAACAAGGCGATTTACTTAGGATTTGGTACCGAATTGGCTTTACAACGAGTGACCTTAAAGATGAGGTGAGAAACGCTCGACGACAATTTTGCAAAGAATCTGTGGTGTATCTGTAGTAATGAATTATCATAGTAATTGAATTAAGAATTATTGTTTAAAAGCTTACACATTGTACTGACTTAAAGTGAGTCAAACAATTATTCAATTTGTGAAATCGTACCTAATTTAACAAATTTAACATAGTTAACACTACTCAGTCGCTCTTTATACACTGTTCCATCACAATGTATACATTTATTTTAATCTCTTTATTTCTAGCAAATACTGTAAAATCGGAGGTGAATGGAAAATACTGTGAAGGTAAACAATTTAATGAGCTAGTTTGGCTTAGATATTACTTAAACTTATTTGAAGTGTTTTACTGTTTCAATTCTTTTATTATTTTAATAAAGAATTTAGTTCAACATTATTTGTTGGAAAGCATTGTATTTTTTATATTTTCAAGGAACTGATTATACCACAATATTACCTATGTAAAATACTTAAAATCATATTGCATCATTGATAAACGTAAACATCATTATAGTTACATTTACATTAAAAATGAAGTTATTTAAATTAAAATTACATTTAATTTAAAAACATTTTCACTATTCTTTTAAGGTTTTAAGACAGACTTTGATATAAAGAAAGCGATTGGACGTTGGCACGTCGTGGCTGTTATACCAGACACCAACTTTTCCAACAAGTTCGATAATGTGACGTGCTATAGAGTGGACTTCAGTGAAGTTGATGAGGTACTCGCTTTAGAATATTATAGCTCCATTCATCAGCTTATAACACACTAAAGAATAGCTCCAATAGTCTTGGTGATTATATATTTTTAGGGTATACTTTAAATCCTTTATCTAATAATGAAGTTGATTAAAGTCGATTTTGTACATTTATAGTTATACAATTCATTCTTGATTAAACTTTTAAAAGTTAATGGGCTTAATGCTATGTATAATACGTACAAAGTACAAAATAAATATAACTATTTTTATTTATCAAACTTGATATTTTAGAATCTCATAATCAAGTTTAGATTACTTCTATGATAAATACATACGCAGGCAAGCCTCAAATGGATGATAACGCAACGGCTCGGTCGTCCAACAGAACAGCTCATGGACAGTGAGCCAGGTGAAGTTATACGCCTGCGATACCATACAGAACAGCCTTTTGACATCTGGTCAAAGTCAGTGCGTGATCTGAAGGGATGCTACAGACAACTGATCGATTTGAAAAACAACGAAACCGATATACGTGAGTTGCTATTTTTATATAAGTGAAACATCGCCACCAATGGATACTAACAATTGCTCGGGCGGACGATGCAAAAAATAAATAAAACATGCTTTAAACAATGGATACCGACTTTTAGTTTTGTGTATACTATATATAATATATTGACTGGTTTCTCGTTGTATCATTAATTAAAAGTATTTTTACGAAACGAAATAAATTATTTTAAACAAACAATTCAATAGGAATTGGCTCTCTTGGTTTTGATAACTGTCAAAAGATTTGTCTAGTTTAATATGGAAATGTACAAAAATCTATCACAAATTTATTACAGCGTGCTTTATAGTAAGCGTGGTTACATTGACGTGTTTAAATACGGCAAAGTGAATTTTCATTAAAAATCACAAACGTTTTTCTAGATCTGGCAAATACATTGGACTCGCCCATGTTGCTGCATGTACTGGAGACTGGATACGGGCCATTTCTCCTCCAAATGCTCTGGGGACGACTAGCCGCTGTCATCTATCGAAGAGAACCGGTAATACAAATTAAATAGTCTAAAAAGATTAATTTATCTAAAGTTTATTTAAGGATGTAGTAAACTGGAAATCGTAAAATACTTTAATCAGATCTAAAGGTTCGAATTGATTTTAAAACATTTAATCTATACTTTTATTTCTAAAAGAGACTACATATTTATAAACCCAGTGTAATCACTTTAATTCGTTTTCCCCAGATTTGGTACCAGTCTTTTCCAGGGTGTACCGTATTGAAAAACGCCAGAGACTGAGTTTGAATCGCTCGATCGGGGAACAGCGGGCGAGCGAGCTTTATGGAGAGTGTTTAGAGGAGTTTTCGACTAAAACCTGCAGCGGAGTTTTCAGTTACTGGAGTAGAGTCTAGAATTTTACGAATAATTCCACTGGATATCGAAACACTACGATCTGGTTTCACATTCTCAGCGTTGTCATTTCATTTCATTTATGCAGCGCATCTATATTTTTATGAGAATTTAGCTTAACCCATTGACAGTGTTTCCCCTAACCAACTATTTTGGGTCCATCAAGAATCAGCGTATACCAATTCTGAAAGGCAATGCTACTTGCGAACTACAATTGTCAATGTCCATACGTTGCGGTATCACTTAACTTTCCAGGTGAGCCTATCCATTTTGCCCTCGTTTTAAAATATCGAATTTTCTTTCTACAGATTTATTTACGATGTTGTATTCAGGGTGTAAAACAAATTGTGGTCTAGTGACGAGTTTTATCGCTAATATCTGCGCACAGCGGTAGCGAGCTAAAGCTTTTGTATTTAAAGTCTAAATAAATATTAGTTTCAATTCTGTTACTATAAAGTATATTTTGTACAAATTTTAGAACTAATTTTATTTAATAAAACAACATATTAATTTTTAACTTCCCAGATTCTTCATATATCTAATTCTTTAAATTGAACGATCTAATTTTTATTAGTATTTAAGAAAGTAAAAACAAGTAATTTATGGTTTTCTAATAAAAAATTCATTTTTTTACATGTAATGCGTAGGGGCGTCAAGTTCTTAATGACGATTTACGAAGGGGGTCTTTTGTCAAACATTATACGGTGCGGGCGGGGCTTGAATTTCGCTATTGACATATTATTCTTACACCACTATCGAATTAAAACAATATATCTTGTTCTCCAAAAAGTTATTTACTATGCTTGTATTACAGTTAATATACAAATTGTGGTACAGTTCAAAACGTTAGTGCACGTTACACGGGGGTCCAGCAAAATTAATTTTGTATAGACTGCTGATAAAGTCTTTAAATCTTACTCTTGACACAAAATTTTTTATTATGAAGGGATATTGGATATTTTGGCTGCTGAACCTGTGCTATGCAACTAAAGTTTTATTTCATAAAAAAATTAGCCCCGGTAAAGAAATTTTAATCTTCCCAGTTTCTTATTAAATACTTATCAAGAAATTGAATGTGTGAAATGAAGTTAGTCAAATTATTTCAATTTATATTTATCAATAAACTGCATTCCCCAACAAGGTATACATAGACTTATTATACGTATTAAAACATGGTGCTTATGGTCTAGCTTGGGGTTAAAACTATACTTACATGTAGACTTATTGATGAATTGATAGACGGACATCAGGTGTGGGCACTGCTATGTGATTGATTTTGTATTGGACAACATATTTGCGACAAAACAGGATGTTTCTTGCACACCTTCTATATTATAAAATAAATAAATTTTCTTTCTCACATCCTTTCATAATAGAGGAAAGAAAAGGAGAAATATTCAATAGTTGTTCGAGCCTTGTAGTTTTTGAATTTGCTTAATGCTTAGCAACTTAGTAATGACAGAAATAAATAAAATAAAACCTTAATCCATACGTTTTTAATGTGATTTAGAAAATAAATATTTTAATATCAATGTTTATAGTATGGTACATTTGATGCAAAGGCAACAATTAATAAACCAGTAAGTAACGTTATTATCTATAAATTTTAAGGATCACCCTGTAAACGATGACATGCTACACAAAATGCTGAGTCCGCCAAATCCTAAAGGGTGTTCCAGTTGGCTCGTTTTATATCTATTGTTTATACGTTTTGATTGAATACCCCTTTTATTGACGTTTCACTACAAAATATTTTCCCTAAACCGTTGGAATAAGGTTCAAATTGAAATGTATATTTATTGTATAAATAGTGCAAAAGATTGTAAAAGATACGGATCATTAGACGCGTCCAAAGGTAAAAGGTTGCAGTTTTAAAAACTAAAATATTTCAGGAAGAACACTCTTTGTTATGTCAAGTTTTTATAAGCAAATACATTTTGAATTTAAACCCTAATACATAGTAGATTTGTGTGTTCCATATCTATATACTATAGAATTATCATAACTAACCAATTTATTGCATATTAAATTTCAATATAATCTGTGCTCAATTGAAACGTTTAATTACGTGGAGCGCAACTGACCGAGATCCTTTCAAAAGTTTTAATAGCTATTTAACTCCAGATCTCATCTCACTCCGAAATTACCTAAGTCTTTTAGCAATAAAATGTCTCATAAAGACCATTTTATAATAGGATCGTAAAGTTACGTAGGGCGTGTCCCTTGGGCATTTTTCTTGTTTTATTCGATTTTGTGTCTTCATCCAATGTTTATGGCACCTGATGTTTAGAATAATTGGTTGGTATATATATTTTATTTAAAATAAATGAATAAAGAATATTATAATTAGTGTATATGTTCAGGTAAAAAGGATTTATATATATTAAATGTTACTTGATTATCACGTTATTATTAGTTATACTTACTTCCAATAGTGTGTTTTGGTTGTGGTTCAAAGATAATTTATTTTCTGTCCAATAATTAGGACTCCTACAAGTTAATGATTATTGTATATGAGGCAGTGAAATAATATGATTTAATATTATATCGCACAAAAACTTCAATCTTGAACAATGCCAAAGCATAAATACTTTGCTATGAGGAAATCAATACTCGAACCTATATCCCTAACCTACCTACAACACACCTCATTATATCATATCGAAGCCATTAGACCGTGCCATTCATTCGTGACATACAATTAATACGGTCAAGTAAACGCTTTCAGAATGTCTCTCAGGATCGTACGATTTTTAATCAACCCGCCTGCGACCGAATGATTGAAGCCAAGTCATGCGACTAATTAGTCGCCGCAAGCGTAGGGAGCTTTAGATTACACTGATAATTGTTTTTTAAAGCGTGTGTGTGATACATGTCATTAAAACGAGCTTTTAATGTAGTAAAAATAATATTAGCTTTGAATAAACTACGCAGCGGTAACTGCTACGTAGTATCATGCTACGTCATGTTTACTACGGCGTAGCAAATAGAATGAATAAATTGTAGGTGATATCATAATGGAAATTTAAATTATACTGTATTAATACAAATTATAATAATTATAAAGTTTTATGTAAATTATTTGCTAATGTATTTTTCTATTTTTTAGACTAAGTATTAATAATTTTTGGTTACACTTAATTACTTAGTTACATTTGGTCAAAAGCAATTTACAGCAATGGAACAACGAAGTAGAATCGTTAAATTTAATGTACACTAACCTGATGCTATAAAACCGAGTTAATCTCAATACACCGATAGCCCTTATTACCCCTAGTGATGTGACAAAATAGTTTTTATCGAGATTTATATAAAATACAGGTAATAATAAAATTAGTGTTTTGTTTTTTTAATACCACCTCCTGTAACTGTTATTTAATACTGCGTTATCAGTATGCGTGATCAAGAAATTGTCATGTTTATAGCGATTATTTTTCCGACCCAAATATCGACCAATAGAATTGCACCATTCGACGTCACGTGGTACAACCTACATGGTATTATACTGATAATTTTTTGAAAATTTTCTCTGGTAGTTGCTATATATAAAAAATAAAACATGATCCAGTCAAATTAACCACACGTCAAACTGACAGGTTGAATTCAATTGTGAAAATTGGAGATTTTGCATGAAAATGAGTCGATTTGGAGTTTGTTCTCTGTCCACCATCGATAAAAAAGTCAAAGGAAATGTTCCCATTAATACGGAGAAGTCAAAAAAAACAGTTTGGAACCAATTTACTACTTTTTGTACTGAGAGGGAATACACATTGAGTGCTGAAACGAGTGAAGCGCAATTGGCAAACATTATGAAAGATTACGCTTACAATATGAAGAAAATGGATGGAGAAGACTATAAGGAAGGTACAATAAAAATTGAAATTGATATTATAAATATGAAATTCTTATTTGCTAACTGTACATTTCGTCTCATGGTGCAATTCTATTGGCCGACATTTGGGACGGAAAAATAATCCCCCGAATACCACATTAGCTTCAAAATTATTTTTTTTGAAGCTCTTGTGGTATTATAAGTGAAAGTTAATCTCGTATCAAACTGAGAATTTGTAAAATTTTACTCGCGCTTTGTGTGTATTATCAATTTTTTTTACAATTAGTTAATTTCATTACTACATATAATATGTTATTTTCATAGGATATATAATAATTAATTACGTACCTTACGTATCGTCAGAAACTGAACTGTTCCTTTTGACACATATATAACAGCATTAATAACATAATGTAAAAGAAAAGAATTAAAAATAATTTGAAGCTAAACAAAAGTTAATCTTCTGAGTTGTCTCACAAGGCAAGCTACTTTGTGACGGTGGCTGAGAGACCATACATTTTTGGGTTGACACTTTTTCGATGTTTAAAAACAATCGATACACAATTCACAGATCAACACTAGCCGGAAATAAAAATCGTAAATGAAGCAATTCGCTCGCAGTCGCTCTCTAAATACGATTAACTACTTTTTGGGGACTCACCACGTTTACTGTCCTTTTATATCAGGTAAGCGTATTTTATTCATTCACTTCTTTGTTTGGTTCGATTGGACAGTATACATGTTTCAAATTGTTGAAAGACTGCATATCTGTTTCTTAAAAATACTAATATTGAAGCGATGCTTGGCGTGCCCTTTACTCCAATAGATATTTTAGTGTTACGCTTTTATATTGGAGAAATAATGATTTAGGCGAATGGTTTTTTTAATGTTACTGACTGTACCATATTGTAGACTGTACAAAAGAAGAATTACTAATATAATTAAATGTTAATAAATTTATTTATGTGCATATATTAAAGATCCTATTAGGCTTACCCTAATAGGATCTTAAATTTAACTCTATGATTAGACACAACACAAATTACATGTCCTTGGGGTTTATTGAAGTTAGTTAAAATAGTTATGAGCTTAAAATTAAATGTATAAAAATATGAAAAATAAAGAAATTATTCAGAAATGTATTAAATAAAAAATAATAATTAAAGTTAT